ACACATACATCATGAAACTGTGTCTCGGCCATGCTACACGCGTTGTATGGACAGCATTCTTTCAGTGAGGATATTATTTTCCTTTTTGCCTATCCATGAAATTATAAATTTTTTTTAAGTAAGAACAGTGTGGAAACTAATGCAGTAGGATTCTGAAGCTTACACCTGGAAACCTGTTAATTTGATAAGAACACAAAATCCAGACTCATGATAAAACTACAGCACCATTGGACAGGCATGTACAAGATTTTTTAGTGAGGACAAAGCTGTATTATTTTCCAAACAAAGCATTCTAGAGACTTGCTCATGATTTTGCATTTTATTACACAGTAAAATATTTAATGAGTGTATATTTAATTCCAGTGTCTATTAAATCCTGTCCAAGAGCTGTGCATTTTCTAACAATACAACAGTAAAGCAACAGTAGTATTTTATAGCTAGAATGATCTATCAGTTCAGTGTTACATAACATGTTATGATGGGATGGCCAGATGAAATCCTGTAAAAACTGCATTTTGACTATGTTGGATGTGAAGTGCTCTCTCTCTGATGTGTCAGTATTGCAGATTTTCATTAGTGCTGAAAACAGCAAGTACTTCTTGTGCTCATCCAAAACAGTTCCCTAGGTTCAAGCAGCATAAAGTCCAAAAATAGAGACGCTTCCTAAATAACCTATATTTGGATGACTTTGGTTTGATTATGTGACCCTGAGGACACCACAATACATCTTCCCTCCCCCTGCTTCTGCCTACAAGTAGCATCCTTTTTACAGATAAGGAGCAAAGGATTCTTTTTTGCTGCAAGGAGCACAGCAAGGACACTTGTGAGCACACCAACAGAAATGCTGACCCAGAGTTGCACTGGATGTAGAGAAAATGGCTGGCTTGTCTTGGGAGATCACAAAATATTGCCAGATTACAATTCTAACCCATCTTCATGGGGCTACAAATTTATATTGTCTGTTATTTTGGGTATGTCTGAAAACAGTGTGGTGTATGGGTGAGTTCAGGGAAAAAAGGGAGAGGAGAAAGATAGGCAACAAATCAGTTTCCTCCAAGGCTTATCATTTCTCTAAGCCTTTCTTTACCGTGACTCCACACAAACAGTGACACAGACCAAGCTCACTTCCCCTCCTTCGCCTGACAATAAAAGCGAGCAACACAGCAAGGTGGTGACACCCATTTCTAAAGAGAAAGTGCTCTTGATTTATAGGTGACTTAATAAGAAATTGCCTAGCATAAAGTGGATTTCCTATTCTATTGTCTTAGGGAGTAATTGGATCTGCTGTTTACAAACCAAGGAGTAAAAGCACCTTTCCAGTCACATTACCGCAGCAACCCCTTCACAAGGCTACACACCTCACCCCTTCCAAGGGGATAGACCGCCCTGCGCCTACCTTCTCCCTTCCCTCACTATCCTGCCCGCTCCCTCGCGGCAGGGAGCAAGGAAAAGCCGCCGGGAGGCCCGGGCCCGGAGGCGGCGGGGCCCGCGCCCGCACACCCCCCGCACCCCCGGACCGCCAGCGACCTCTCAGGGGCTGCTTGCCCGCCCGCGCGCCAGCTGAGCCCCGCGGCCACAGCGGGACATCGCGGCCCCGCCCGCCATCGGCACCCGCAGGATGGAGCAGAGCCCGGCCGGCCCCGCTCCCCGCAGCGGCGCGGCCCCGATCTCTGCCCGCCGCCGACCGTGACCTTGTGGAAGGAAGGGCTCGCCGCTCCGAGCATCCCCGCCGCGCGCGGCCGGGCGGCCTGCGGCGGAGCCCGGGGCGGGCGGGGATGCCCCGCCGGCAGCTGTCGGTGCGGGTCACTGCAGGCAGTGGCGCCGGCTTGCGCTCCCAGCCCGACCCACGCATAGCGGCGGTGGGGCAGGCTCCGCTTCTGACATGTGCACGCACCCGCCGCTGCGGCACCGGCACACGCCCGCCCGGCCAGGCCGCCCCGCTCACCTGCGCCGCCGCCGCCGCCGCCGCCGCTCTGCCCGCCCCGCCAGTTCCGCATCGAGCGGCAGGAGCGGGACGCGCACCGGGCCCGCGGGGGGGCAGAGAGGGCGGGGCGGGCGAACCACTTAGTCCGCATGGCGGGGGAGCCGCCCTCGCCAGCCTCCCGCAGGGGGCGCTGCTGGGCCTCTGAGCGGCAGCCGGCGGGAGGAGGCGGGATGTGGGGTGGGAAACAGCTCTCCAGAGCAGGCTGCCTGAGGAGAATGGGGAACGCTTCAGCTTGTACTTTCACCCTCTGTATTGAGCTACTTACCCGCTGATTTGCTACAGGCTTCATGAGATTACAACAGAATTTGGTTATTAAAAGCTTGAGATACAGCTTTTTTAATTCCTTCCAAGCTCCCATAAACCACTGCGCAACCAAATCTGTTTATTAACAAAACAAAAATTACCAAAATAAACTCAAAATGCAACCACAAGCACCGCAAGTAACCAAAGAGTTTAAAATATTTTTATATATGAGGTGTAAAATGGTGAAATAGTTGATTTGATATTCACAGAATCACCAAATATGCTGAGCTGGAAAGGATCCACAAGGATCATTGAGTCCCCACACAGGACATGCCCAAGAATCATACCATGCGCCCAAGAGTATTGTCCAAATGTTTCTTGAACTCTGTCAGGCTTGGTGCTGTGACCACTTCCCTGGGGAGCCTGTTGCAGCACCCAACCACTCCTTGGGTGAAGAACCTTTTTCTAAAATCCAACCTAAACCTCCCCTGACACAACTTCAGTCCATTCTCTTGCATCCTGTCACTGGTCACCACAGAGAAGTATCTGACCCTCCACTTCCCCTCAAGAGAAAGTCGTAGACTGCTATGAGGTCTCCCCTGTTTCCTCTTCTCCAGGCTGAACAGACCAAGTGACCACAGCTGCTCCTCACATGACTTGCCCTCAAGGCCCATCATCATCTTTGTTGCTCTCCTTTGAACGCTCTAAAGCAGGACAATCACCTCCCTTGACCACCTGGTAATGCTTTGTCTGATGCACCCCTGGACTTTTCAAACTGCAGAGGAATTGGGTTTTCAGAAATACACCCATTTTTTCTCCCTCTGCATTGATCTGAACCAATCATAAGCAAACACAGCCAACAGAGAACACTTCCCGAGACTGTAATTCAAGCACCCCATGATTTTTACAGTGGCCAAATCAGCAAAATTAATTTGAAACAAATTGGGTATAGAGACTTAGAGCAGCAGGACTCACTCTCAAGCCTAGATAGCATTTTGCAAATATAAAAGTACAAAGGGTCACTGATCTCAAGGAAGGTTTCTTCACCACACCTTACCTGAGCTTACTTGAGCTCCATGAGCTAACCAGGCAAGTTTCTATAAAACAAAAATTCTGTACTAATTTGCACTTTCAAAAAAATGGGAATGTGAAGATGTAAATGAGGAGCTTATATTTGACTAGATGATAATGAAAAGGGATGCACAAGGCGGAATGTGCTGGTTTTGGCTGGGGTAGAGTTAATTTTCTTCACAGTGGCTACTATGGGGCTGTGTTTTGGATTTGTACTGAACATACTGATAATATAGAAATGTTTTTGTTATTGCTGAGCAGTGCTCACACAGATCCAAGGCCTTTGCTGCTTCTCATACGGCCACGCTGGCAAGGAATTTGAGGGTGCATGAGAGGTTGGGAGGAGATACAGCAGGAACAGCTGACCCCAACCGACCAAAGAGATATTCCATACCGTATGACATTATGCTCAGCCTATAAAGCAGGGGAGAAGGAGGAAGATTGGAGTGATGGCATTTGTCTTCCCAAGTAACTGTTGTTCATGATGGAGCTCCGCTTTCCTGGAGATGGCTGAACGCCTGCCTGCCCAAAAGCAGTGAATGAATTCCTTATTTTGCTTTGCTTGTGTGTGCAGCTTTTGCTTTCCCTATTAAACTCTCTATGTCTACTCATGAATTTTCTACTTTTTACCCTTTAATTCTCTCCCTGATCCCACTGGTGGGAGAGTAAGCAAGTGGTTGTGTGGGGCTTGGTGGCTGGCTGGGGTTAAATTGTAACACAGAGCCAAGGAAAATCACTGTTTTCACCAATGCCACACACAGCAGTGTTATAGATTGTACCTTGAAAATCCCTCAAATTTATATGCAGGTTTTCTCTTCAAATTTAGGAGATGCAGCTCAAAATAAAGAAACTGAAGCTAGAAATGAAGCTGCAGCTTCATTGCCATTGCCTCTTCTGACTGTTGACAGTCTCATTGTTTAGCAATCCCTTAATCAGGGCCCAGCCACCCTCTAGTCCACCCAGGGCTGACTTGAGCGCTCGAGCTCTGCTCATACCTCAGTGCAGTTTCCTATAAGCCTACTCCTTCTTCCTCTGGTTTAGTAGATTTCAATTTAAATTTTAGAGTAACTCAGGGGCTTCAGCAGAATAGCCTGTGGTGTGGGGAGTTGCTGAGTTGACAGTTGCTTTTCTTTCCCATTGTGGCAGAGGATCAAGCACTTCGGAAGCAGCTAATGCTGGACAGCTCTCTGCTTTCCCATCCTACCACTCCCTTCGAGGTAATGCATATGGACAAGTATTCTGGTTGATTCTCCTATGAGTACATCAGAAAGTCTCAGTATATGAGGTATCAGCTAGGGTCCATCTGAAAATCCACTTCACAGCCAGGGGCACGCTGGACTCCCATCTCAATTTTGACAAGCCATGATATGCAGAAAATGGAGTACAGCACATGGAATAAAATGAGTAAAATTCTGAATGTAGCTGTACATACCAAGATGAAGGATGTTTGTATAATTCATGGTCTTCATGATATGCACTTAATCCACTTCACATATTTGCCAGGTCTGCAATACAGCAAGGTGGATATCAAGCTAAAAATCTCATCCTAGAGGCCAAAATAAACTGCCTGGGGTTGCACTGCTATTTCTTTTTCACCACTTCTTGCTTCTCTCCAATGTTCTTATCAGCTTTAAGCTTGTTACAGCAAGAACTTATTCCACCCTCCTCCGAGCTAATGACAGCACATCAGAGAATGTCAAAATCCTGTATTAGGCTTTATTCTTTTATATAAACATTAACATTTCTCAAACAGATTAGTTAAAAATACAGATTTAAACAAGAATTTTTGCAATTGCAATGAGTTATAAAAAACAACAGATTATTTTACAGATTGTTACAAGTGCTTTACAAAGGTGCAGAGTGAAGGCCAGTGGCAGGGGACCAACCTCAAGTGCAAAATGGACACGATACCCTCACCACGGGCATAGCGCTCAGATACACAGCCAAAAAAAACAACAACAAACAAACCAAAAAAGACAAACAAAAAAACCCCGAGCCATGTGAACCTATGCTCTTGGGATGCTCACTGGGCAAGCAAACATAGACCCCTATGACAGAGAAGACTCATGAGACCAAACTACCAGGATACTTAAGGTTACATCTCTGAGATCAGCCATAAGATGATGTTTCTTGGAAAGTAAGGAACATGTTTTACAACAGTATATTTCTCTTCTGTCAGACAAAATATTGCTGTAAATTCTAGAATACTTATGAATGTGGATACTTAAAAACCTGGGGCATAATCCAGTGTGGATCTCACAATGCCCGAAGTGAAGAAAGGATACAAGACCCAAGTGTCCTTCTAAAGCAGTTGGCACTCCTCACACAGGAGGGACCTCCATATCCCATTATCATCCCTAAAACCTTGGAAAGACTTTGGCAAAAGGAAGACAACGCAAGTGGATCTGATTACACGCAATATTCCTGCAGCCCATGATCTGAGAGTTGTGCAGCCCATAGCTTATGCAATGCCCACATATTTCACTAAATGCAGTGTGTCCTCTCTCCTTGGCCAATACATCTTCACACCCACCTTGGAATACATACCACATGCTTCAGATTCTTGGAAGTTTTTGAGATCCTTCCACCACACCTACCTCACCTAGGTACCAGTCCTTCCCACCTATCTTTCTTCTATTCCACTCCTAAAGATAAAATCTATGCCCTGATTTGTTTTGAACTAAAGTTTTCCAGCTGTTAGCAAATCAAAGGTAAATTGAAGTGTCTGAGAACCACGAGATAAAACTGTGATGCGTTATATTAAAAAAAAGTCCACTACTTTATGCCTGACATCTTTTTGATGTACGAACGTTCCCTACCCAGAGAATCTCCCTGTTAGACAAAGGGCACTACATATTAGAGGAATCCTTTTTCCAAAGGAGGGTCAGAATAAAGGGCAGTTCTAGAGATGAAGTCTCATAATAAAGAAATAAAAGCTACTTCTCTTGGAATCATTGTAGAGGGCAGCACATTCAAGAGATTTTATTTATAGGAAACCCAGTGAAACCCATAGAACATCCACACTGACTTCCCTGAGCTCCTCAGATCCAGGTACACTGGGGACCCTGCAGAAGCCTTTCGAGCTGGGTTACTCTCAATAGAGAGCTTTTGGCAAGTTCCTGCAAATTCATTTTCATAATCAGTGAGAAGAGGATCAAAGGGCAAACCTTCAGCATATGCTTAGAGAAGAGAAAGACTCTGAAGAAAGAGGACTTGGGGGGCAGGGGGAAAGGTCTTCATTTCTACCGTTTTCAAATGTTTCACGTTATTCCTTTGGGGTATGGGCACTACCTCAAAACCAACCCCTCCACCTGATCTACCCCAGCTGCCTCCTGCATATCTCACGACAACATTGAAACCCCGGGCTCATCACTCCCTGCATGCCTAGCCCAGGGTTCAGTGCTTTGGAGAGGAGAGGCTGGCTTCTCATTAGCAAAGGCTGGGAGATGGCATTATGTCAGCGCGTCAGCATTCTGGGAGCATGCGGTCACTCATGCACATCCCAGATTTCTGAGAGCAGAGGAGGGAGTTTCTTGTCCTGCAGCCGAAGGGCAAACACCTGTTCAGAGTGGACACTGCTTAGTGTCCGAAGACTGACCAGCTTCATTAACATCCGTGGAAACATCAGGCGGTCCTGCAGAGTCAGGCAAATAGACAGCTGTTAGTAAATTCACACTAAAACTTTAAAAAAGAAAAAATATATCACAACAGATGATGTATTGTAATGACAATCCTGACTTCCTCTAAACCCAGCATTCACCAGGAGGCTTCAGTGTGGAGGAACACAAACAGTACACCATGTTCCAAAACTCCAGACTTTCCATGCTGGCTAAACTATGGAACATGATACAGGACAGTAGGCTGCGACAGCTCACAAGTCCTGCATTTCCAGCTGCTATCAAAGTGCCACAGAAGGGACAAGTATGACAGCACAGGCAGCAAGAGACCTGTTACAAACAGTACCACAGGAACTGTGTCTGCATAAACACAAAATCAGCTCTCATCATTGCTGGAGATGTTCTGGTCAGGCACTTACATTTGGTCTGTTGATGCAAATGTAAGAATGAAGGGCTTCCACATAGGTGTGCTGCAGCCTCTCCACCAAGGACTGGTCCTGCACATTCGGTCGGTCTGCCAAAAAGCAGGTTAGAAGTAAGGAGATTGCCACAGGCAGTTTCACTGGACTTAACATCCCTGCCTAACCCTATTCCCTCATACGGTCTCTTCCCAAAACCTCACTAGCATTCACCCAGCACAGCTGGGAGGTATATCCATGATTGTAGCAGCTATGTCAATTGTCTGTGACTGTTCTTTCTCAGTGATGTCTCCTGTACATGGGGTATCCAATCTGACTCCTACAGAGGTGGAAGGTTAGAGACCAAACACACTTACATAGTACCGTTTGGTCTCACATTCCTGTCACAGAAGAAACAAGAAGCTGTCTACTCAAGAGTGATTGGGAAAGTCTCTGCAGCAGGTGAGCCAGTTAGAAAACAAGAACAAAGAAAAAAAGTACTCAATAATTCAGGTCACAAGACAGAAGAATGGAAGTGGCTTCTTGGCAAAGCTCTGTCCTGGCCCAGAGCAATACTGTCTCATGTCCAGGGTATTTTCACTTGCCCACTAGATGTCACTCATGCTGTGGGACCTGCATCACACCAGAGGTGCCAAGGACATTAAGGGGACAATTAAATAGCAATCTCTAAACAAGGAAGACAAATACTGGCCCATTTTTCTATACACTTTTTCAGTAGTTGGGGAATTTGCTTTCTTCTGGAAGTGGCACTATAGAATTCAGAATATAACAAATAACATGCTCCCTTTATCACTGAACTCTATACACCCTCTATTACTCTTCTTCTGCTTGTGACATTCCTTAACTCTACTTTCTTTGCCCTCTGACTCACTACTGCAGCTCCTCAGACCTCCCTGGCTTTTTACCTGCAGAGAAAATGTTGATGGCGATTAAAAGTGCATATTCAGCATCGTTAAGCTGTAGCTCATTCATTCCCTTTGAGAACTCAAAGATGGGGTTAATGAACTCAAACTGCAGACCTGAAACAAACAGAAGAGAACAAGGTGAAGCAGTAACAATTGTCTCCTTCCCCTCATGGAATAAGCTGCAAGAAACCCACTGCAGTACACCAGGGAGTGGGGAAGACAGGCAGGCAGGGAAAAACCCTTACATTATGTTCCAATGAAACCTCCCTTTACATCCACTACTAGTGAACACCAACAACAGTGGCTGAGGAGTGGGGTTCTAACTATAAAGTTACGCTATTTCTGGGTTTTCCTAGAGCCTTAGATGCCCCACAGCACATCACCGGGCAACAGCTAAAGGAACACATCATTTATCAGGTAAGTCCATCAAAAAGTCAGAAAGCTACAAGTACAACATCTACACTTTCAACTCTGACACCATCACCTCCTTCACATCCAGTAGCTCTCGTGCTTTCAGCGAAAGCTTTAGTACCGTGATCCAGATTCATCTGAAGTCAGTCTGAGCTGAAAACATACAGTTCCAAGAACTCTGAACTATGCCATTTCCTTCATCTCAAAAAGCTGGGAGAGCCGAGGTAGAGCCTGACTGAGGCCTCCAACTACCTCCTTTGATACATGCAGTCAGGCAGAAATGCAGTGATATTTATTGCCATTACATATAGAGACCACTGTCAAATCAGGTCTTTTTGTGCTATGTAATCATGCTGAAAACTTCAGGCCTCTCCTCCAAAATAGCATCCAAGTTTCTAATTTCCTGCAGCACAACTGCATCAGAAAAGGAGAAACAAAATGGAGGGAATTTTTCTGGCTGCCTACTATTTGCCTTCCTAATAACCTGAAAAAAAGGCTACCAGGAAGACTGTTGAAAAGGAAAGTTGTATATAAAAGTCATCCCAAGTATAAATGGTTAAAGAGCTACTCAAACAATAATTAAAAAAAAAAAAAATCACATGAAGGACAGCTAATGTCTTGCTTTTAGAAATGCTGAAGGTACATACTTCCTGTTACTTCATCTGAAATTATAGACACTCATAGCTCCTGAAAAAACAGAGTTCAGAAATCACGCCACCACAGACCAACATATACTGGGACGATAAAACATCTAAAGCAATGTGTGGGGACCTTCCATGCACGGAGTGCATATAACCACATTAATGTCCTTACTCGAGGTGTGTATCCGGATTAGCAAGTGATACACTTGCAAAGGAGAAAAGACTGTGGTTTGAATTGCTATGATCTGATACAGCTCTATGACCACATCACATCTCTACCAGCAAGGAAGTTCACACCAGCTGCTAGCCCTAGGTGGACATTTCCTACTAGATTTTCATCCTTTAAGAGTCCAAATTTTCCCAAGCAAGTTCACATCTGGAAAAAGACATGAACTGAACTGGTAGATCCATATTAAAATCAAAAAATATATGGCTTTTGAGGCTATTGGTCTGGTCCTCTTCTAAGCTTCTCATCTGACCCCACATACTATTTCCAGAAGTCCACATTAAAAAGGAAAATATGTAAGAACACAAGACACAGGGAAGGAAGAAACACCTGTCTAATGCACCACCTGCTTTGGCGAAGTCATCCCGATTATAGCTCAGGTCCTTAAGAAAGGTGATGCTCTCAATCTCTGGATTATAGCGCCGAGATGTCTCCAGTAACATCACCTGAAACCAGAAATGGATATACTTGATTTGAAAATAGGAAAAAACGTTACAACATCAATAATTCGTTGAATGTTGGAGCATCTCTGAAAAAAAAACCAAAAAAAAACCCCAAACAAAAACTCTCCGGTTTCTCTCAAGAGTGTTTAAAAATTCCAAGATAAATTCTGCTGCATCCTTTGTGGTGTCTGCTTCTGGGAAAGGGGAAGTTTCTGCTTATCACTACCAAGGCACTTGTCTTATTCTCCTCCATGACCCTTTGCCAGTATAACCTGGCACTGCAGTAATGGTCCCATTACTGAGATCCTTCAGTCCACCATCCCAAAAAAAGGCATGGAACTAGTTCTCCATGTGGGGAACTCCAAATTCTTTCATCTCTGCTACTATGTACTGTGGTGGAGCCAAACTCTCACCTCTATTGTAGATGTCTTCAATAAAGCAATCTGATCTTCCCTGGTGAGCTCCAGGAAGCCAGGTAGTTGCTTGGCAAAGTCCACAATCTCTTGCACAGAGATAATTGCAAGTTCTGTAAAGTGAGCAAAACGCTGCTGCCTCGCTTCACGGTTATTAGGGTCAGGAATCTGGGGCCACGGCTGTGGGAATGGGAAGAGACAGCATATATATATAGAGATATACAGAGACACAGAGAGAGCGAGAGAGAGAGATGTATGTGAGAGATTAAGCCGGGACAGAAAGATGAAAAGATGAAATGAACAATGAAAGAAAATGAACCAACATCAGAACATCATCTTTTGCTATTCTTTACAGAGCTTTAGTCCACAGAGGAAATGCCTGAAGTACGTCTGTTCTCCCAAATATTTCACCCAAAACCCAACTCCCCAAACTTCAATTTTTCTTAGTTTTTGTAAGCTTGTAGATTTTTTACCGTCACTTTGAGCCTGTCTGTGAATGAGCGCTGGTTGCACTGCTGCTGAGCGGCCACAAGCTTTTTTATCATGTTCAGCTGTTCCGGCGTTAGTTTGTGGGAAGGGCTTGGCGGATTCGGAGGGTTTGGACGCACCACAACTGTCCGAGCCTGATCGTCTTCCTGCTTCTTCAGTTTCTTCAGTCGGATCTGTTCTTCAGACAGAACATCTAAAGCAGGAATAGCCTGTGATCAATCGTAGAAGCATACTGGAAACTACACTAAACACAGGGTAATGTGCTGTGGATGGAAAGTGGAGATCACAGCTGCCTGTATCTGGCATAGCAGAGTGTACACAACACAGCAGACAGTGATACTGTCATTTGTTTCTCCCTCTATTCCCGCTTTAAGTTGTTCCATTACCTTTCTTCTAATCATACCATCATGCAAAGTGTTCACAAAGGGCAGAAGCTCCTTTCACGATGCCCTGCAGATCTCAGAAAAACAACAGTGACTTTCCCCATTGAGCAATTCCCTAAAATGTCATGTTATAACAGATACCAACAAGTGCTCCTTTAACATGCCATGGTGCGTCCACTGTATTTCATGCTATTCTGCTGTTATGCCTTATTCCAATATTGTTAATTTAACAGCTTGTGCATTTCATCTTCCTCTTCAGAGGTCAGAGCCAGTCCTGGATGGATTTTGAGAGTGAAAGGATAATTTGCTATACAGGCCATCTGCAGCAAACTGTAGAGCAGTAACATGGTGCAAGATGAAGAGTGAAAGAATAGCTTTGCATAAAACGTACTGAGGACCAACCACAGGTCCTTCAGGAATAGGGTTAGAAGTCTTCTTCAGTTGTTAAATCAAAGGAGATGTCATTTGGATGTAATATGGTAAGGAACTGAACAAATTGGAGGCATCTGATTTATGGGGGGCTAATGGGGTCCATCTGTCAGAGAAGGGGAAGCACATCTTCACTCATAGGCTTGCCAGCCTGTGAAGAGGGATTTGAACTAAATTTGTCCAGGGAAGTGACATTATAGAGGGGGTCTGTTACAAGGTCACCTGACCAGAAAACTGAGTGGAGCAGGCCCTCTATAGACAGACAGGAATGGCCTCACATTCACAAGCCCTGGTCTTCTTGGGAGATTTCAACCACCCCAATATCTGTTGGAGAGATAACACAGCAGCGAATAAGCAATCCAGGAGGTTCCTCTAATGTGTTAATGATAACTGCCTTCTCCAAGTGATAGAGGAGCCAATGAGCAGAGGTGCTGTGATGGACCTTGCTCTCACCAAGGAGGGCCTGCTGGAGAATATGAAGCTCAAGGGCAGCCTGGACTGCAGTGATCATGAAACGATGAATTTCAAGATCCTTGGAGTAACGAGGAGGGAGTACAGCAAGCTCACTGGCCTGGATTTCAGGAGAGCAGACTCTGGACTCTTCAAGGATCTGCTCAGTAAAGTACTAGGGGATAAAATGCTGAAGGAAAGAGAAAGCCCAAGAAAGCTGTTTTTAATATTTAAGGAGCACCTCCTCCAAGCTCAGGAGCAATGCATCTCTAAACTGGAATGGCATGGATTTAACAGATGGATCAGAGATTGGTGGATAAGAGATCGGATGGTGGTTAAGAGATTGGCTGGATGGTTGCATTCAAAGAGTTGTGGTTAGTGGCTCAATGTGCAAGTGGAAAGCAGTGGCATTCCAAGACGAGTGGCATTCCTCAGGGTTGGTACTGGGACCGGCACTGTGTCGTGCCGTACTGGGAATGTCTGTGTCAGTGACACGGACAGCGGGACTGAGCACACCCTCAGCAAGTTTGCCAACGACACCAAGCTGTGTGGTTGTGGTTTACAAGCTGGAGGGAAGGGATGCCATCCAGAGGGACCTTGACAGGCTTGCAAGGTGGGCCTGTCGAACCTCATGAAGTTCAACAAGGACAAGTGCAAGATCCTGCACATGGGTCAGGGCAATCCCAAGCACAAATGGAGGCAGGGCAGAGACTGGATTGAAAGCAGCCCTAAGAAGGACTGAGGGTGATTCTGTGAACTGAAGAATTCACTGATGTGAATGTAGAGAAGGTTTGTTGTTTCTTTAAGCCAAAGTTGCAAAAACTATCTGAAAAAAATCCAAAAAAATAAAAGGAAAGTAGCAGATATACCTGGATTCAAGGGTTATCTTCCAGAGAATCATCCTATAAGTTAATGATAAACAACAAGGAGCAGAAAAGGGACTGACTGGGAAAAAACCTCCGCATCTTCAGGAACAAAGATAAATAAACAAAGCTTGACTTACAAACAAGATTTTAAAAATGCTGAAAGATTCTTCGGTCGTTTTTTTATGCACAGGTAACAAAGACACATAGCGGCTATACAGGAAAGCAGGGCCCAAAACTGAACAATTATACACTTACGCTTCTTAAATGAATCATGTTAAACATGAAGACAAGAACTGGAGAATTACTGTGAGAGAGTACTCTGGAATTGGAAGGATAGATAAAGAACATAACACATTCAAGCTGAGAGGGCCCTTTATCCCCGAATTTTAACAGGGAGGATGCATGCACAGGTGCATGCACACACAAAATTTACCATTCTAACAGCAAAGACATTCAATACAATTACCAAAATAAGGAGGACCTGTAAGATTAGAGAATGCTACTCACAGTGTTAGTTTAAGAAGGCAAGTAATTAATTCAAGTGATTACAGTCCCTCAACTTGGGACTCAGATGCACAAAGGATTTATAACTGGTAACTTGTCACTTGGCTATTACTGAATCTTGAAAACTGCCTATGTGCAAGTTTCTGCACCATGCTAAATTCAAAGCAATCTAACTTACTTGGTTTGCCAGGAAGGAACTATTTAACCTCACAGTTCACACTGGCTTAAGAACAATAAACTGGCCATGAATAACTTCAGTCTGGGAATTAGAAGAATGTTTCCAGCAATTACAAGGGGGAAGTTCTGGAATGACCTTCCAAGTGAAACAGCTGGAGGAAAAAGCCCTCCGTTTCTGTCAAAATTAACAAGGCAAATTTGCAGTAGGGATTACAGCATTGACAGGAATTGCCAAGCTCTTAATAATAACACTTTTGACCTAATTTTCCTGAGCTGTCTTCAACACAAGACAATGAGTAAATACAGAAACATACTGAGGTTCCCTCTATCTACCTGCAACAAAAGAGAAGCAAAGTGAACAGGCAGTCTTACCACATCACTTTTCAAATATATCTGGTTTGTAGCTCTCAGGAACAGGGGTAAATGAGGTAAACACAGCATATGTAATGCTGATACAAACCAGTGAGACAGATACTGATCTGTTTTGTTTTATGCTGGAAAAAACAAACAGCATGTCTCCTTGGTGTAGCATTATTTTACAAGATGTTTCTGAAATACTCCCTGTTCCTCACTGTTCTGGGTGCTGGATGTCAGAAAAGGAGACTTCACACAGATCTAACATTAATCAAGCATCCATTCAGTCAGTCTTGGCCACCAAAGGGATGAAACTTGGATGCCTTGGCCAAGGAGAGCTGTTCCTGACATGTGAACAGAAACACTGGTGAATATTCAGGAACAACAGCCTTATTACTTGTGTGAGAAAAATAGCAGATTTCACTAAAGGGAGCAATGAGATCAGCTCTTGCACAAACACAGCTGCAGTACTGTGGTGCTGCCCTTGACCTCTGTCACAAGCTCACAGTAGGAGGCAAAGGAAAGTGCCTGTTGTTCAAGGAGCATGGCGACCGATCCTGCAGTCCCAATCACAGGACAGAAGCCTGAGTTTACTGATACACTTCACAGCATTCTGAAGAATGTGCGAGTCCTTCCTCTGCTCTCACAGTCCACAAGTTCTTATAAGGAATAAAGCAAGGCTGCAGCTCTCAGCACACCAGTGGTGTTCCACTAACAGCCTCACCTCCCCATGTGATCCCTGCTAAGCTCTCAGTGACTTCCCACACACATTTCAACACACAGCCTGCATGGCTGTGTCCCCTCCTTCCCAAGCATTCACACTGCCTCCTGCTTTACACCCATCACCCCCACAGCCTGCTCCCACACGCCTCCTGTCCCAACACCACCATGCCCCCATGCACCATTTCCTGCACTCACACTGCTCCCTCATGCCCGCTTCCTGGCACTTGCGCAGCCGGCACTCCTGGCACTTGCGCCGCATGTACATGTCCATCTCGCACTTGCCGCCGTTCTTGCAGAGGTACTGTGCTCCCTTGATGACGCTGCGGCGGAAGAAGCCCTTGCAGCCTTCACAGCTCAGCACGTTGTAGTGGAAGCCAGAGGCCTTGTCCCCACACACGCTGCACACTTCGTTTCCCAGCATCTTCGGGGCTGGGCCCTTCTTCCGCTTCAAGGGGGGATTTTCTACTGAAATGAACAGTACCCAGGGGAAAAAAAAACAAAACAAAACAAAAAAAAGCACACATGAAGAAGTATGTTTGCAGCTGACTGCCACATTCCTTAAAATAAGCAGTATCCTCACTCAAACCCACCATCTCCCAAACACATGGATGAAAAGATCCTGTTTCACACACTCCCCTTCTAGACAGGCATATCTTCTGCAACAAACTAACTACTGACATAATCACTAAGGTTCACCTCAAATATATAAACAAATACAGCTTCACACTTGCTCCTCTCCAAAACAGAGTGGAAGAGCCAAAACATGTTCAGGTCAGATGCTCTTCTGCACTTTCCAGTTACAGTTAAGTTCCCAATGTGAGAAAGACCCACAAAAAAATTGACCTGAAATCCAAGACTGTGCAGAAAGTAAGTTTCTTCAGAACTCACCTCCAGTTCTCCTAGCTCTATTCTCTGCCATACTTATGCACAAGAATAAGGAAAAATGGTTCATCAATCTAATAGAGACAAAAAACCCAGTCCTGAAACTGCGACCCTACAAAAAGCAGACTGAGTAGGCAATCCCTGTAACTGGAACACTTAGGGAAACTGTCAAGACAAAACACAGCACCTCGAGGAGTGTATATACAGGCAAGCAGCACACAGCACAAGCTCTGTGAGTCTTTGGAGCCCCAAAGCCATCATTTCTTCTTCAAGGAGGGTGCTCCCCACTCCTAAAACTGAAACGCTCTCATAGTGACAGTTCATTTACTAAACTTTGTTATTCTACCTGAAACACAGGCCCTGCACTACTGCTTCACATTTCAGATGGTCTTAGGCAGCAGCTCCCAGCTCTTCCTACATCATTCTGAGAGATCTTAATATTAGCAGCGGCTCTGTATTCTGAAAACATCTTTGGTTTTCTCCAATGCACCTTAAATTAAGCATTTGAGCCTACTATCTCTCTCTCTTTTCATTCCATTTAACTCTAGACAGACCAACATCTGACATTCTACACAGCTCACAGTGCAGGTATTTTTCCGTATGTCAGATATTACAGATTCTTCTATGGCAGCTGTTCATAAAGATTACAAGCAACGTCTTGATAGGTCTCCAGATTATGCTTAGATATGCCTGGAAAGCCTTTACACTGGAATTAATGCATACAGATAGGTTTGCAGGACGCAGCTACTGCATTTCCTGATCAACATCAGGTTTACAATTGCATGTCTAATTTTTGTACTTACTGTTCTAAAACTTCTAATCCTTACTGTTGTTTACACTTACTATTCTGCTCAAGTTTCTGAAAGGGTAAACCATTTTAGGTTAGTCTCAGAAATCATTATTAGTGTTCCTCACTACATATTAGTTTTCAGTCATAAGTATCTTCTTGTTGATTTTCAATCCCACTGACTTCACAGAGGCCTGGAGGCCACTCATTTCAGCCTGCACTTCTCACTCTCAGCAAGAAAATGTCATCAGACAAGTTAAATTTCTGATATTCTCCTTTCTTGTTTGACTCACACAATATATTACCAATTATTTCTCCTCACACAGTATGTTACCAAGAGGAAATTATGCAATGTATACAGTTATTTCAGATTATTTAGTATAAATATATGCAATGGTATAACAACTTTTCCAAAGCCTTAAGTGATGTTCATATGCTTCTGAGGAACAGCAGAGTAATCCAATGACTTCGAGAGATGAATCTGTCCATCTTGTGGATTTCTTAGCTGCCTTTAAGACGTTACATAAACACCTTATTACCTTTTCTATGACTGGTTTATTGAGACAGACAGGCTTATTCTTTGATCTATGTAAATTATTTTCCATCTCTGAACACTAAGCATTTTAGTTATTGTCATTTTCTGTAGTTAAAGATAACACAAAAATAGCGTAAGAGATATCAAGCATCAATGCCATCTTTAGCTCTCATTAGGGTTCTCCTTTGGAAGATACGCTATTATATTTTTTTTTTTCACATTTTGTGACTTTTTTCCTTGCATTTTTGTAAGGAAACAATCTATCAATTGCTTTCTTTTCCTGTCCTCAAATATGGTTTAAGGACTTTTATTGGCTAATATCTTACCTTTTAATTACTCTCTTTGTTTCTACTCTACTGGTGAGTCCTTGTTCAATGTTCAGATTACCTCTTCTTTTTATATCAGGGATTGCCCCTTACCTCACAGTTGAGCAAATACATTTATTTATCATATTTTCATTAAGCTGCTGACACTATGCACATCTGTTTTCCTTTTTTACCTGTTAGCTGTCCAGAGATGCTACACTATGTCGTCTTACAGTTTTAAAGTGTAGGATTGTGGTCATGAGCAGCAATTTTAACTACAAAATCTCCATTCTATTTCCTGATGCTCTTTAACCTCAGTTAACCTAAGAAATATGTAGAGGAAACTTCTACCGTCTTCCCGTTATATGAATCTGCAAAAATCTATCATTTCTTTGCACCACCTATCCTTGTTGGATTGTCACCTGTAGTAAAACTTTATTGCTCAGCAGCTTTTGATAAGGTTAACAAAAATAAATTCATTTTAGTGCCATGAACCCAGCCTCTAAAAGGTCAAATAAGCAAAATATTTATCACCTACATAAACCCAGTTGTCTTCAATTATCAGTAACTGATTCTATTCTTAGACATTATCTCTGAGTGCCTCAAGCACTTCAGAATTTGCCCTAAAATTTTGCCAACTATCAATTCTGCTTGCAGCTGAAAGAATGGACAGCCTTTAGCTTGCATGGATTTAGTAAGAATTTTTCCATACCTGCATGCTCAGGGGGGTTCTCTGAGCCAGGGAAGAGCGAAAGCCCTTCCTCCTCCATCTCAAATACACTTGCCACCCTCTTCCCATGATCCTGTGTGCTGAGTTGAGTGGGACCCATGGAGGCCACACAGGAAGGGCTCACTGTAATCTCATCGCTGCAGCATTGTTTCTGCCAAGCAAGGGGCTGTAGGTGTCTTTCTTCAAGGTCTTTAGTTTTTCTCTGCTACTCAAAGTCAGAAAGGAAGTACCTGTGGAAAAAACAAACAGATGCAAAAGAGGTAAGAGTTCAACTATTGAGATATTAATTTCCAAAATCTATTAAGGGCTGCACCACGAGCAAGCTTCAAGATTTCATTTCCTTAATTAGCTTTGTTTTATCTTGAAACACAGTATTTGAGCAAACTGTGGTAAAAGGTACAAGATTAGCACATCCAGGTGCAAAACTATCCTTTGATTGCTGAAAGATTTATCAAAGCAGAAGAAGTCTTCACTATTGCTAACACCACCAGGACACTTCAGCCCTGACCTCTCCAAGTGTGTAAGAGGGAAATTTCAGACTTTATAAGCAGTGGCCTTTGTTAAAGCTTCCAGTAACAAACAAATAGCTCATTGCTGCCAGCTGCCCTGGATTTTGTAGTATGTATTGCAGAACATACAGAAAACTGTACAAGATAATTATTTAGCAGAGACTATAAACACTGAAGTTCCCTATTAATATCAGTAGCCAAAGACTGTGAGAAAGATCGATGATGTATCAAAGATGATAAATCCTCCCTTCACTTACAGGTAACAACTGAAAGCCAGCATCATACCTATAGCAAATGACCATGATGCCACCCTCAGAAATAGATTCACCACCAACCTACTGAGGATAGCTTTTCTGGAACTTAGACACCATACTGAAAAGCATTTTCATTATACAGCCCGAACTCCACTACAGAACCTGAAATTGCAGAGCAAATCCAATCACTTCTTCCAAAAATCCCCACCTGCACAGAAAAAGGCCCTACTGATTTGACTACACAGACTCAGTGAAACTGATGCAAACTGCTAATGTAAACACCCTTAATCTGACTGAACATGCATTTGATCAGTTGATCTTAACTCAGTGATTTACCAATGCAAGCTAAAGAGATTAACTGGTTTAAAAAGCAACTACGTGAAAGGCCTGTACCAGTTTAACTTGAGTGATTGAGCTCATGACTGGAAGCCTGTCACTCTCTGAAAGACAAGAGGTGACAGAAAGCTCTGCAGCAGATCAAATACAAAAGTATCAGGTAATTAGGGGTATGCCTCACACACTGCAGTGCTGACCATCAAGAGGCAGAGGACCCAACATCTAACATCCCTTCTTCCCTCCTGGATATCTGGACCAGACCATGCAATTTTTCTTAGAATGCCAAAGACAAGGATGAAAGCAATGCTTCCACAAACCACCCCCCTCCCAGTACTCTAAACCAGTCATTAAGTATAAAAGCAAGTCATACTGTCAAGCCTGCTGAGCTCCTGCCATCTCCCATTACACTGTGGATGCAGGTGTTAAAACCCACAGGGCACATTACTTCACGTGACCTTTATAAATACAGCCTGACTGTATAAGCAATTCAGAGCTCCCTCCTCCCCTTTGGTGCATGCAGCCACTGAATTGCTGGGGAAAGAAAGAGACTATCTAGGACAAAAGCAGTGACAGCAAATATGAAACTCAAAGCCATATAAAGGAAGAAATTCTGCCGTGGGAGGCTACAGTGTGATTTGCAACCAATTCAAAGAGACTCACGGTCCTCAAAGGAACAATGTGGTTATCACAACCAACTTTTTTTTTAAAAAGTCTCCCCAGAAAATCCTGCAGCAGCTGAGAATCTTGGAGAGGCACAGAACATCAGATGGAGACAGGAACTTCACTGAAACAAACCCACACCCGAGTTGTATTCCCAGTTCTATGTAAGCTCCTCACTGATGCCAATATCAGATGTCTCCAGATATGTTTGGGCATGAAATAAGAAAGGTAAGCATACTGCCTATGTTCATCTCCACATTCCTTTAAACCATGCAATAGACTCACTCAAAGATTAATTATTGTGCAGAATGAATCACCAGCAGCAGTACCACAGCAATTTTTCAAAGGAAGAGTTTGATCCCCCAGCTGAAGAACTGAGTGACAGTGCTCAGGTCCCACCGCCTTCAGTTCAGTGACCCAGTCTTACTGCATCCCAGCCACAATGGCAATGTATTCCAGAAAAAAAAAACAGGAGAGTACAGTTTGATGGAATTTCAAAACTGTGTGATCCACACAACCCTGACTGACATTGCAAGAGTGAAACTTGCTGTCAGCAAGACATCTGGAGCACAAAGGGGTGCATCTAAGAGACTGTAGACATCCTGAGAAGTCTGCAGCTACCAAGAGGGAAGGGAGTATAAATTCCTGTGCACATCCAGGACACAGCAAGGGGTAAGGCCTACCAGCCACTATCTTCGTGCTGTAAAACAAACCCACGTGTTCCTGCTTCATGCACCAGCGTCCAGTCTTCCCAAAACAGAATGGGTCAGATAGGAAAGGTTGCTTGTCTTCTCTGCTCCTAAGACACAGCGCCTTTTGGTTTTGTAGGTGCAGTAACAGTTGCAGGCTGTGGAAAACTGACCTAACTACAAACAGCAGCACTCTAGTGCTAGGTAAAGAAACCCAAACTACCATTTTCCACACATGTACACAAGTGAGAGGTTGTATAACTAGACTCAGGACTTAATTTTCACAGAAATGCATGAGGATTGTTTTAAAATGAGGAGAAATCTTGTCAAGTTTTGTACTAAGAATCATGTTATTAGAGATTCGCATCTTCCGATCTGCACCACCACTTCAACTAAAAATGCAGAAAGGTGATGCAAGCCATAACTACAAGAGGGAACACTGTCTTCTTGACATAATCTGCTATGCTGCCTCCCACTGTCTGTCTCAACTCCTTCGGTTTTAGAACTCAGGACTGGCCAAGTGACAAGAAATGAAGCAATCACTTCTAATCACTTCAGAGTCTTGAACAGAGGAACCTGATGACCAGACATATTCCAGTGAGGAAACACATAGAGATGAAACGCTGAGGGAAACAATTTTCTGCCAGCCCTTGCCACCCATGTATCAAATATGACACTAAACACTTCTGAAATGTGTCGCCACCAGCCTTGCTCTACTCCATTTCTTCCTTCTTCCCTTCTTTTGAGACAACTGAACAACACAGATACTGATGGTCTCCAGATAGCACTCTTGCATCAGAAAGTACTGCTTTTTTCAGAGACTAAAGATGGTAGCCTTGGCTCTTGTACATCATGCTAAATGCCAGAAACATTCATCACTCAGTCCAGCAAGTCTCATCCCATTCTCTCAGTTGGAGTCCTCTTCCAAGCCAGATGAAGCACTTATGCATTCTTCTGGAAGTCTTTGATCTGATCTGTCATCAACAGACACAAAGCTACAGAATATACCAAACTATTGTCTAACATTCATTGAGGATAAGTAAAGGAGATAGCATTGACCAGCATAGCACATAAAGAAACCAAATAAGCCAGATGTAGTTACTGTGACACTTCTGCTAAACAGTGCTGTCCTCTCCCTGTATTTCCTGTTTGGTGCCTTCTGTGAGAAGTTTAACGATCAGGAATCAGACCAGGTGCAAGCATATCTCTGAAGAAACTGTGCTATGGAACACAGGAATAATCAGAGGAATAGTACAACGAGCCCTTTACCTCCAAATACTGGCTGTTCAGATAAAATAGAAGATTTTTAGGAAGTTTGTTCAAGTCTCTGGGATCTTTCAAAACAGGATTTACTCATCACAGTCCTTGCCCTATAAATTACAATATCCAACAGTGTTCTGTCAAGGGAAAAATATATGGCTATGTTTCAGTTCTGTAATGAATCACAAGCATACATCTTTTGCTCTGCAGCATGTCAGCATCAGCAGAAGAGATCTTACATTTGTATACATATGTTAATATGACTGTGCTTGCTCTGTGTCAACAAGACTGTGCCTTTGTGCATGGGCTGTTGGCAAACAAATGCATTTGACAGGAAGGACTATCTTTCAGAGGTAACCAAATCAGGGATATAATTTGGTATTTTGGATTCTAAATGTATTCTAACATGCAATACAAGTGCCAGCCCCCAGTGTCAATCAACATCTGAAAGCTGGGCCCACTGCAGTGCATAATGGGCAATCAACAACTCACACAGTGATGGCACTACCTTGGGTATCAAATGCTGGCTGCAGATCTAAATGGCCAAGAAAAAACATCCACCTGTTGGACTGAGATTTTACAGGACACTACAGCACCAGCACAAAGCTAAGCCCTTTGGGAGACGCTGCTGTTCCAATCCTTTCATAGGGAGTAAACATATTTTGTGACCCAATGCTCTTCCTATACTGTGTCTGGTGCAGCAGCCAGAGGATTTTCACAGATCTTCCCTAGGATCTTGGTACTACCTTGTAGCTGTCTCAGAGAAACAAAGATTATTCCCAGCTCAGGTTGGCTCATTCTTCTTTGTTCCCTCTGCATCATCACATTTCTGTAGAAACACTGGAACAGATAGAGGGGCTCTGAACAGGGCAAAAGTATACATATAACAAGTTTCAATTAGGAAAAAGTTGAAAGAGATACACCTTTCAAGACAGAAAAAGAATCTGTCACTTTGAAAATTAAGTAATATTACACGTGAAAACTGTCAAAATTTATGAGGAAAAACAATCACCTTCAGGTTGACAACAGGAGGGACAAAACATGAAAATGCAGGGTGTGCAAAGCAGTGCAACAGGATACCATAAAGAATGATTTTGAACAGTATGTTTATGAAGAATGGGAAAAACAGTTCTGCAACCCTCAGGGAACAGACTAGTTCTGTGCCCCTGCCGTGAATCCCTCTCTACAGAGAACTGAAGGGACACAGTTTGACATCGCATTATCCATTTTGATCTCTCAGAAGCATAAAGACAACCACAAACTGGAAGAAGTCTGTAAGCCACCATCAGTCCCAAGCTGATAAAGAAAAGCTTCGGCCTCCTGATTGCTTTCATTTGTTGTCCAGCTAAGCTTCAGCTGACCATGAGCAGCTGCCCAAGCTTGTAGCACTGGTCTGTGAGCCTTTTGAAGTTGTTGCCACCTCTGACAATTATGCAGAAGAGTCCTAGAAGTCAGTCCTGGCTGCGCAGCCTGCTTCCCAGGGATGGGCAGCTGCATTCTAGTCTCTTGCCCTCAGCTTAAGGGTCTTATTCCCACCTCTCCCACTGGCTCTGAGTTTCAGAGCCTGCCCTCCACCCCCACCCCACTTTGGCTTTTACTCCTGCTGCTGACCAACTCCTTTATTACCCATGACTTTGCTGACTTTTGGTATGGCCTTTTCCTACGCATTTGTCTCGTCCTTTGAACTGGGTTCTCACTGCAGCAT